AGTTGAGCGACAAAACAGAACATTACAAGATATGTTAGCGGCATTTTGTACAAAACATGGCAATGATTGGGACTTATGGCTAAACGCAGTAGTTTTCGTGTACAACACTAGTCGACAAGAATCACTACAAACCTCTCCATTTGAAATAGTTTTTGGACGTATTCCAAGATTACCGTTAGAATTAGAATTAGGACTCCCACTGAAAGATCCCAGTACGCGATCAGAGTACACTCAGTCGCTTAGGAAGATATTTAAGGAGGTGAGGGAGGTAGCAAGGCAGAATTTAGAGAATGCAAGAACAAAAGAGAGAAAATGTAGCGAAGAAAGAATTCGGACATGGAGCCCTTTCGCCCCAGGGGAAACAGTATACCTGCGCAGACCGAAAGGATGGAAATTGGGGGCGAAGTGGATTGGGCCATTTGAAATTGTTTGTAGGATGGGTGTTGTTTACAAAATAAGGTCGAGCAAAGGTAAGATTACGGTGGTTCATCATGATCGGCTAAAGCGTGGCTATGCACCGGTGAATGGCGGCAATGTTGTTTGCCCTGCTCCAGAACTTGGGGGTGACCGGGTGGTTTACACTGCTCCCACAGACGACGTTCAACCTAATTGCGACAATGCTCCACATATCCCACGGGTTAGGCCTAGGAATCTCAGGCAAAACGTTCATCCGCCTGATCGGTACGGCTTTGCTGCGTAGTAATACTCCCAAAGGAAACACAGTTGTAATTGCATTTCTTGTGGGCAAGAATATTATTGTTGAGGGATGGTGTAACATGATACTGTAAATAAAGTAATGTAAAACAGGCATGCTATATGAAATCTAGTCTGAGTGAGTGTGCACCCTGAGAGAGAAGGTTGCACATGTAAAAAGTTATAAAATAAACTGTTAAAACCGAGTGTGTTATTTACGGTGCCTCGCTATGTTACAGAGTCAACTAGGAAGAGCACAAATCCAGATATTCTTGCGAACTATCAACTTAAACATTATTTTTGGCGACAGTGCTTCGCAGAGCCATATCAGCACCTATTATCTCGTGCGTTTACGTATGTATTTGAACTTGTACTCTCTCTCTAGTGGACTCGATAGTTCAATTGGTAGAGCGTCATCCCTGTTCGTTGAATATGCGAGTTCAAATCTTGCTTGCATTGAATCAAATTTTATGTTGAAAAGGCAGAGTTCGTATTTTTTCAGTCATGAATGTATTGTATCGTAAAATTATGTTTCTACAATATGGTAAAGTCTGAGTTACCTGCACTATGTCATGGAAGTGGAAGGGTGAACGTCATAGCCCATTTTCCGACTAACTGCACATCGAATCTGCGGAAAGATGAAAAAGATTGTTTGAAAAATTCAAAATTATTTCACAATCACATATTAAATTCAGGGGCGAAACTATCGGTGTGCTTCCCGCTCCCGCCCCCGCCCAACAATGTTTGGAAAAAAATAATTAGCGATGTTCGACCGTCGGGCACAACTTCGGCCACGTACGCCCTTTTGGTAGGGCAAAACTAGCCCCCCCGTAATACCGAAGTTTTGCCCTTGACTAAATTTGAAGCATTTTGGCAATGGTCCAATCCCAAATCGGAAGTTTTCGAGTATTAAAACTAGTTAAAACGATCTTCGAAATTCATTCAAATTAATCCAATAACGTCACATAGGCTTTGTATTCATTGTTAAAACCAGAGTAGCGAGCGAAAACATGAAAGATTTTACTTGTTTAGAGTCCATCCATCTTGATTTTCGGGGGGGGGGCTTTACATTGTTTTTAATATAGGAAAATGGTTGCAATTATTCAGGCTAAACATTGCATGATGGCTGCGTCGTGTATGGGCTTTGCTCAAGTCTGACCAGGGCGCTAAACAATAATTGTTGTAATTTAATTAATTGTCAAGGGCATTGTGCTAATTGCCCTATGGCTGTATAAAATAGACTAACCCACCTCTGCATTGGAAACTCCATAAATGAGAAAGATAAAAAATCCCTGTGGAATGGTAAAAATTACTTCATTATTTAAAATATCTTTTACTATAAATTAGAGCCTAAATACAATATTTTATCCGAGTAACTATAGAAATAAAATAGCGTATAATTAGATGAAAATTAAATTTATCAAAACTATAAATTCCAAGTCGATTTCTAAACAATTCTAAAATGTCTTCTTTGAGATTTATAAATTCTTAACTGAATGATATTTACTGCTAATAATCCAAACCACCGCAGCCGTGTTGGTGTAGGCCACAATAGTCAAATTTAAAGGGATACGGCAATATAGTTTTTTATTATTTCATGTTAAAGAACTTTTAAAATTATATGTTAATCTCCTTTACCAATTTTGCGTAACTTTATTATTTCATGAAATATTTTTTGACTTAAAATAATTTGCTGTCCGCCATCTTGGATTAATTTTTATCTCATTGTCGGTGATTTTAGTGACGTCATAAGCAGGGTTAGCCATATAAAACTACATCTAAATGACCAAATAACATCAAGTCTTGTATGAAAGGTCGTCAGACAGTTTTTATTTCAAATAATTACTGAAGTATATGATTTTGGACTCATAATAACCAATTGCTCTATGGATAAAATTCTTGCGTGACCCTGCTTATGATGTCACATGCATATCCGCCAAAATCCAAGATGGTGGAAAGCTCGCTGATTTGTGATTTTTTCTGTTCAAATATCTCAAGAAATAATAAAGTTACGCAAAATTTATAAGTTCCTCCAAATGAAATAATAAAAAAATATATTGCCGTATCCCTTTAAGGAAATTGTTTGCTAAATTGTATCTACACAACATGTCTTCTTTCGAACCAATACAAAAAACTGTAACAACGTCTGTTGTGGTGGTCACACCAGAACACCAATATGACCACCATTGTCATTAATTATGTCTCCAGGCCTAGTTATTATGCAGATCAGTGGTATACATGCACCATACACAATGTCATTTTCTCTTTTTGTACCTGCAACGAAGTAAAAATTGCGAAGAGGTATTTCCAGATCAAGGCATCATGATTGACAGCGATAATACTGAATCCCCAGGATAGGCCAAGAGTCGGGAATAAAATAATAATACAACGGGCGGCAGAACTAGAGAATATATAATGAAATGTATGTTAATTAATTAAAAAAATCATTCTTTCAAGTTGCAGCTTGAATGTTCAATCCAAAAACATTTTATTGCAAAAGTAATCTAGAATATTTCCATGCTATACATTCTTGGTGGCCATGCAAACTTAGTGGCCATGCTATGACTGATGTTCAGTCATGAAGATGAAGCAAAGTTATTTATTTGGAAAACGAGATCAAAATATTGCACTTCTTCATTTGTCTTCTCACTTTACTGACTGCTATTTGATGCTTTATAAGTAGTTTTGACGAAATAACATGCATTGACTGTGAATGTCAAAATTTATGGAACTTACATGATATTTTTCTTGGCACCAGCTTCTTCCGACTTCGAAGCGATAAACAAAACACGAATCACGACAATGACTACAACAAGAGTCACCTACATGGGCAATTATGATAAAGTGTTCGTTAATAATGCATTTTGAACTGTTCCTTAATTTTGGTGTTATTCAACTTGCTGCTGTATTATATCTGTTATTGTTGCTTTACTGACACAGTTATACTTTCAATGTCTGACAGTTTTGTACTATAAATTAAAGTTATATCTTTTATTAATGGAATAAACAGTCCAAACCCGAGAGTGCTATAAAACTATTCAGAGAACGTTTCATTGACAGTAAAAACTGTCACTGTTAATGCTGCTGTTTCTGTTACGGTTGGTATTGCTGTTACTTATTCTTCGAAGGCCTAATCTTTTTGTTTTAACAAAGGTTAATAATATATAAAACTACATACGGATGTTATAATGATCACTGGCGCAAAGAAAACCCACACAAATCCATCTTCGTAAGACAGCCAGCACCTGACCAAGAAAGTAATTATGTTAATTATAGTAGAATGCCATCCTATTGCAGTTAAAATTTTGATCCGTTTACGTTTATTCACAGACTAAACAATAAAGGTATTCACTGTAAAATAAGAATATTAATTAAGCTTATATTAATGGATATTATTATACGTGGCACACAATATTTATAGGATATTGGTTTTTGGTACTTAAACGACAATGGCAACAAAAAAAATTATTGTCTCATTTGAAAGAACGTTTAAAACTATTTCTAGCATCTTGTTACAAATTTTTCATATCAAGCTTAACGCTTGAAATATTTTCACTGAAAGCAATGAGCTGTCCGCCATCTTGGATTAATTGCTGCCGTAGCGAGCGAGCGTGAAGCGAGCGAGCGAGGCAGCAGTCCTAATCTTTATGTATATGTATATATATATAAGGCAGATGAAATCTCGATCGTTTCGGCGTATTTCGGCCTACCACAATGTACTGCTTCCGGGCCGGCAGGCTATTCTTGCCTAATAAACAGGCATAAGGCAAACAAGCAATGTGATCATCTTTCATCTTTGGTTTTCTTTTATGGAAAGCCATAGCTGGCGTAAGTGATCAAACGGCATTTTGTCGATACGCAGTGGTTCGAGCGTTATACGCGGTGGTTTCGCTATTATACGCAGTGGTTCGAGCATTATACGCGGTGCTTTCGTCATTATACGAGGTGCTTTTAACATAATTTCCATATTCTTTCCATGTATATAATCTCACGATTGCTTAATAAATCTGGTAGGCCTATGTGGCTGTGCTTTTTGCCTCTGGTCTGCAATGACAATGACATGCTTTTAAAAAGGTTTATTTATAAAAAGGTGACTGCACTTTGTGAGTTCTTATATATTATCATATAGTGTTGATTTATTAGTAATAAATATGTGTATATAACATACTAGGTATATAAATTAATATAACGCAGCAAATGCGCACCAAGCAGTATAAACGCGGCTGAAATACGATATTAAAATCTTGAATGTGCCGTATGATTTAATTATGTTTTAGGATTTAAAGCCTTTAAAAATGCTTTGTCATTTGTATTTGTACTTGTACTGCATCACAAGGCAGTGCGTAAGTGAACAGATTCCACATGTGAGGTTGTCTTGTATATATTTTTGCCTTCTTTGATAAACATTATTAAACACGCAAATTTAGTGAGACGCACACTCGCACATGTTAAATGTCACCTGCATGTCATTGTCATTGCCCTTTAACCCCTGGTCTAAATTTGTAGGCAAATTGTCTATACAATTTTATATACTAGATATCACAGCCATACCTGCCATTTTGATCTTTTCCTCGCGTTAGATAAGTTGATAAGTACACTCATTCTTGTTAGCCATCGTACCTGTTCGGCTGTTCCTCTTTCGATACGAAACTTCGAGCGCCGAGTTATCATACGGCACATTCAAGTGTATAAATTATGGATGATTCCAATTCATTACGAATATTTCTTACTCTTATTCTTTAAAATATTAAGAGGCAATTTTTTTTCAATGTCACGTATTTGCAATGAAAAGTGTTCAAAACCTAAAATCTTTTTGGCGTTCCTCTCAAAATTACTTTGTTTTAGCTTTATTCTCTACAGTTTATAGAGTTAGCTACCTTTTTAAATGCGTCTGCCGGTTGAGAAACATAAAATAATAGTTAAAAATTGCCAATTAAAATACAATTATCAATGATGCCTTAAAATTGACGCTATATTTACAGCCATTTAAGCAAAACGTACTGAACT